GGATTGCAGATCGGGAAGTACGAAAGAGCGACACCTTTCACTACCCAGGATCAATCTTGCAAAAGAACGAAGAGTTGCATGGAGACCTCAACCATAAAATACAAGCTGGATGGATGAAGTGGAAAAGTGCACCTGGCATGTTGAGTGACCATTGTATGCCACTGAAGCTCAAGTGAAAATTTTATAGGATGACAATAAGGCCAACAATGCTTTATGGCATGAAATGTTGGGTGGTGAAGCATCAACACGTACATAAAATGGGTGTAGCAGAGATGAGAATGCTTCATTAGATGTGTGGGCACATGAGAAAGGATAAGATTAGGAATGAGGATATTTGAGGTACAGTAGGAGTAGCTGAAATTGAAGAAAAGATAAGAGAAAATCTGTTACGGTGGTTTGGACATGTGAAATGAAGGCCTATTGACGCTCTAGTTAGTAGGAACGATTATGTGGAAGATGTGACACAAAACTAAGTGCAATGGCATTCTAGAATTCATATAACCAACCCAATTTAGTGGGAAAAGGCTTTGTTGTTGTTGCTCTACACTTAGTTATTCAACCATTGAGGCAATCTATCTCTTACGAAGATTGAAAAAAGATTTTCACGTGGTCTTTATAGGTTTGGAAAAAGTGTATGATAGGGTCTCTTTGGAGGAATTTCTATATTATATTACAACATTCTCCCTTTGAGGGTTACAAATCTTCGATTAAATCGTTAAAATTACAAATCTTCGATTAAATCGTTAAAATTACAAATCTTCAATTGAATCGTTAAAATCTTGATCTGTTTTGGATGCTCCCCCTGCTTTTTTCCCTCAAAATGATGTATCATTTTCACTTCCCTTTGAATGATTCTTCAAAACATTAATCAGCGACTTATCCTTGTTTGGCAGCTTTAGTGTAAAAAGCCAACGCCATATCAACTGTTATATTTGCTGAGGAAATTTGTGACCTACAACAGTTGAAGATGAGTACTCGAGTGCAATGCAAGGCAAGTAATCAGAGAAATGGAGTTCCAGGCAATCAGTTTCAGATCGGAAGTTTGATTCCAGGTTCCAACTAATTGCTCTATTTCTCCTTGTCTTGCAGGTAAGAACAAGGACAAAGAAAATGACCTAGAAAAGGCATAGTATGAGATACTTTTGCTTTTGACCCTGATGATATAAGATACTTTTGCTCTTAAAGAAAATGGTAGAAGATTTTAATGTTGATGGAAAACTTCTGGATCAAAACTATTTTCTTGCTGAGGAAATGAGTTGAGCATTTTGAGTGACTTGGTTGAAGAGGTATTCTTGGAAAAAAGGAAAGTAGAGCATTCGAAGATGCTTTGTTGAAGATGCAGTCTCAGAGAGAAGAGAAAAAGTTAGGCATTCTTCCTGTCTTGCCATGGAGGACAAAGATTGATTTATATAGGGATTACCTAATAGCAACTTGTAGTGCTATTCTTTTACTCTTGTCAGCAACAGTAGTGTAATTAGAATGGCGAAATTCACGCATTTCAACTTTGTCAGAAATCTTTGACGAAGTTGCATGTGAAATCCAAAAAGTTGAGATTGTGTCTGAAAAGTGACAACGAACTATATTCCATAAAAGCAGGCTTTTCAAATTCAAAGAGCGATGTCTCTTCAATCTTCAAACAAGTGGCCACGTTGCCTCTTCTTTGCTGTTCCTTTTCACTTGTTAGCAACGGTGTAATTGGAACACTAAAATTCACACATTTCAACTTTGTCATAAATCTTTGACAAAGTTACCTGTGATATCTAAAAAGCGGAGATTTCTTTTGAAAAGTGACAACGAACTATATTCCATAAAATTCGGCTTTTGAAATTCAAAGAGTGGTGTCGCTTCGATCTTCAAACAAGTGGCCACGTTGCCTCTTCTTTGCTGTTCCTTTACGCTTGTTAGCAATGGTGTAATTGGAATAGTAAAATTCACGCTTTTCAACTTTGGCAGTAATCTTTGACAAAGTTGTCCGTGATATCCAAAAAAGTAAGACTTTGTTTGAAAAGTGACAACAAACTTTATCCCAGAAAATCCGGCTTTTGAAATTCAGAGAGCGATGCCTCTTCGATCTTTGAACAAGTTGCCATGTTGCCTCTTCTTTTTATAGAGACATCAATTATGTTCAAAAACACGCTCAGAAAATTGCTTCTTATAGAAATTTCCTTTCTGCACTTCTGAGATTTCAATTTATCTTACCTCATTTTCCTTCATCATTTCTAAAAAATGGCTTGCCTATTTGACCGTCGATTTAATCTGAATGTTGTGGAGGATGTAAACATGTCTCCTCAAGACAACATATGGCACCTATCCTTCTTATCAGCTAATGGTCCTTTTATAGCTGGGGACTCTATGATGAGGAATAATATAACCGCTACAGTGGTAACTAGGAATCTTCTCATTTACAAGGATAACGAGACACTTTCAAAACGATCCGATGAATTGGATGTTCAAGAGTCTTTGGCTTTCAGTGTTCAATTTGTGGGCTTTGTATCTAATATGGGCCAACGTCTACTTGCTTTAACTCGCCAAGTCGAATCATTGATGGCTGAGGTGGCAAGTCTTAGACAAAAGATCAGAGAGCTCAAGTTCGAAAGTAGAGAGTTGCACATGCTTGCAAATAATTACTTAAAGGGCATGAAAAGAAAGCTTGACTAGTTGCAGGAATCCGAAAGTCAGATTCAAAGTGACCATCAGAAGTTTGTGGCTTCATTCCAAAGACACCAATTGCCTTCGTCATCTAGAGTTTTACCAAGTACTGATGCACCAAATAATCAACCTCTTGTGCCTTTTCTTCCTGGAGTTCCGCCAAGTACTGAGGCGTCACATGATCCATCTTCTGTGCCTCCTCTTTCTGGGGTTCTGCCTAGTACTGAGGTTTCATATGAGCAACCTTTGTGAATGCTCTCTCATGTTTGTTTGTTTTAACTTATCTGTATGCACATGTCTGTAATCTATCAGATATATCAATAAGTAAGCTCTATTTCATTCAGTGTATTGTGATGAATACAATAAGGCAGATACTTTACTAAGATGTTGTACTTCTGGACCAAATATCAATTTATCTTTACCCTCACGAAGATAAATGATCACTTTTAGTGTTTCATTTGAGTAATCAACTCATAATCTTTAATCCATATGGATCATAAATATCATGGATCAGATTCGCGTTGGCATAAAGTTCAATCCATGTGGGACTGGGTTTCACATTATGCTTCGTTGGATATGTGAGCACACAAGAAATGATAAGATTAGGAATGAGATATCCGAAGGAAAGTAGGAGTAGCCGAAATTGAAGGAAAGATAAGAGAAAATCGATTACAATGGTTTAGACATGTGAAATGAAGGCCTACTGACACTCCGGTTAAAAGATGCAATCATGGGACAGAGGTTCAGGGCTGAAGGGGCAGAGGAAGTCCGAGAAGGATTTTGGAAGAGACTCTAAGAAAAGACTTAGAGTACTTGGATTTAATGCATATAACCGATCTCACTTAGTAGGAAAATGATTTGTTGTTATTATTGTTGGCATCTTCTGTACTCTATTTGTGCAGTATGAAGGAGACTTTTGTGACAAACTAATTGATCACGTACTTGTTAATGTTTATGTATATGAGGATGAATGTTTCTTTAATTTTTAAATTTCCTGGATAAGTTTTCGACCCCTAGCACTGGGCGGGATAAATTCTTATTCTCATCTAAAAAGCTTATCAATGCTCCAATTTCATTTGACTTTTCGGCATTTTAGATATAGAGCATGTGGCTAGAGAAAAGATGGCAAAGGCTGGACTAAAACTAGATGTCAGCATCACTTACTCTGGACCACACTTACAATTGGATACTCAGCTAGAGGCTCCAACTTTGATTGAACATCAATCGGAAATATTCTAGGACTTTCCACGGCCCCATCGATTTGATTATAGGAATTAGAGGAAGGAATGTTTAAAGAGAAAGGGTTCTCATTTTTTTATAAAAATGGAAATTAATAGTAGAGTTTAAATTACATTGAATTTTAACGATTCGAACTGTTTATTTTTTAAGTTGCACCTTATAGATCATTCTTGCAAAATATTAGTTAAATTATAAATATTTAAGACATCTATTTGGATTTAAAGAAATTAACAAATGCTTTATTATATAAGAAACAATGAAAATTGATCTTGATAATTAAATAGACAAATGATTTCAGATTGAATTGAATTTTTGCAAGAATGATCTATAAATTGAGACTTACAAAATAGACAATTCGGATCGTTAAAGTTCGATATGAAGTGGGTTTCACACCTAATCCTCATATATATTTTTTTTTCCAAAAAACAGATAACTCTTTGCATAAAGGGCTTGACGAAAGGAAATAGAAATTGAACCACTGTGATATTTCATTTTTATATGTTTACTAAAATAAGAGTACTTAAATTAGAAAATTTAGATTTTAACTCAGAAACAGTTTTTTTGCTCCAACTATTATGTACATCATTATAATTTAATTTTATGAATATTTTAACTTAAAAATATTTAAATTATGATAAATATTGAAAAATCACTAAACCAACACTATGCAACTCGTGGATCACTATGATATAATATGAAACACATGAAAGATTTTTTTTTAATTATTTTAGTCGTTAGATTTAAATTTGGACCGCTAGATGTTTTTTTTAATTGTTTAGATTTGATCATATTAAATATTAGTCGTAGAATTCAATAAATTTATAAATATAAGATATAAAAAATACATGGTCTAGCCCAATAATCTGAGAGAATTATGGGTTAAATTTGACCCCAAAACGAGTTTTGGGTTAAAACTCATATTTGGCTAAACGTGAGAGCAAGTAGGTATAGAACATAAAATTTGAATATTAGTTTAAGGTTGGACTAGGTCTTAGCTGCATTCTCACACAATTTTGTTTATTTTTATCATTAATTTCCCTTAATTCATTCCATGAAAGTTTAAAGACTGCTATAAAAATAAATGTGCGGATAGAAATATCCTTATTTATTTACAAAGATAGTGGTATTCAACGCTTGCTCTTCGAAGAAAAGAAACAAAACAAAATACTCAAATGGATCCGGAAGTACAAACAGCGGGTCTCGAGTCACCCTTGATTCCAGTTCTTCCTCAAGAACTTGAAGTACAAAGAAAACAAGGACCGCTGAGCAAAGATGAGGTTATCAAGGAAGTAAAGAAGCAGCTTTTGTTGGCAGGGCCACTTGTGTCCTCAAATTTCTTGCTATTTGGTATGCAGGTGATTTCAGTCATGTATGTTGGTCACCTTGGGGAGCTGGCACTTGCAGGTGCTTCCATGGCTACTTCATTTGCTTCAGTCACTGGTTTGAGCTTGATAGTAAGATGGCTTCTCTACTTATTTCAGATTATTTGATTTAATTTATATTCTTATTGATTTTACTAGTAATTAAGTCACGAGTCATCATATGGTCTATAATAAACAATTGTAGTGGGATAACTTTTTGCTTTTTATTCTGGAAATTCGCACTTACAAAACAGAGAGATAAGAGATTCCCTTGAAAGTGACTGTTCGGATCATTGAAATACAAAGCTGAGTGTGTTGTACAGGCTAGACTTGTAAATGGGTCGGGTTTATTGGATTTGGATCCATTTCACTTGACCCGTTAGGTTAACGGATCACCCGAAACCGACCGTTAAGTTAACATCATCTAAACCCAACATGTTAAGCTAATGGGTCATCGGTTTCACCATTAACAACTTCTTTTTTTGTTTATTTTTGCGTTTCAATACAAGTTACACATATTTTAAATAATATTTTAAACATGAAGATCCAAATACTAATTTTAAGGGATGGGTCAGGTCGGGTTTAAAATGACAGGTCTAGTACAGGCTATCAGATTATCCCTCCAAATAATTTCAATATGTATGATACTATTCTCATTTCAACCTTAATTTGTTGAACAGATAGGAATGGGGAGTGCATTAGACACATTCTGCGGCCAGTCCTATGGTGCAAAACAGTATCACATGCTTGGTATACACTTACAGAGAGCAATGCTTGTTCTTGGCCTGGTCTGCATTCCTTTGGCAACTGTATGGTTCAATGCTGGTCATATTCTTAAATTCTTGGGTCAAGATCCTGAAATAGCAGCTGCTGCTGGAAATTATGCTCATTTCCTGATTCCGTGTCTTTTTGCATATGCAATCCAACAATGTCATTCTAGATTTTTGCAAACTCAAAACAATGTGGTTCCCATGATTGCTAGCACAGGCACAGCAACGCTATTGCACTTGTTTCTCTGTTGGTTTCTGGTATACAAGACTAGCCTTGGATATAGAGGTGCGGCGTTGGCAAACTCCATCTCATATTGGATCAATGCATTGTTGTTAGTTGTTTATGTCAGAGTCTCTCCCTCTTGTAAGCATACATGGGCTGGATTCTCAAAGGAGGCCTTCTGTGGAATTCCCGATTTTATAAAACTATCTATTCCTTCTGCTGTAATGATCAGGTAATCATTTCCCTTCTGCTGTAATGATCAGGTAATCATTTGTTGACGCATTCTGTAGTGAAACTATCTATTCCTTCTTCTGTAATAATCGGTCAGCAGAAAATTTGCAATTACAAAATGTTAACACCTAGTGTAATTGGTTGCTGGTTTTATGTCTGTGAACAGCTTGGAGATTTGGTCATTCGAATTGATGGTCCTCTTATCCGGTTTCCTTCCTAATCCAAAGCTAGAAACCTCAGTCCTCTCAATCAGGTTTGCAATATTTATGCTCTACTGAGCAAGGAGCAATATAAACTCTTATATGCAGCTGACAAAGATGAGGCAGAAACAGCGAAATTACTAACGGATTGATGACATTTTCAGCCTTAACACATGTTCAATGGTGTACATGATTCCAATGGCATTCAGTGGTGCAGCAAGGTGAGTTTAAGACCCTAAATTCGCGTCGAAGTGTTTATGCCTCTATTGTTGGATATTTGTCTTAAAAACTCTTTTCTGTTATTTACTTATACAAAACAGCACAAGGGTTTCAAATCAATTGGGTGCTAGCCAACCACGACTCGCAATTCTAGCAGTACGTGTTGCACTGTCCATTGTGGTTATTGAAGGCTTTTTGATCGGTGCTGTCCTGATATTGGGTCGAAAAGTTTGGGGCTACTGTTACAGCAATGAAACTGAAGTTGTGAATTATGTGGGTGAAATGTTGATTTTGGTTGCGGTATCTCACTTTTTTGATGGAATTCAATCTGTGCTTTCAGGTTTGTTCCGGTTTGCACAATCTCTTCTCTCATAGCAATAGATCTTTCTGTTCTAATTTTGGATTTCGGAAACTTTATGTGATACCAGTATAACCTACTGCTAAAACTGAAGTCAAAACTTTACGTTTATCTCTGTTGCAAGGACTTTGAATTTCATTCAACTCATATATACTCACTGTGTGTTGTCGATATCTTATCTCTATGTTGTCGATATATGATCAATCAGTCTGTGATCGATATTTCATTTTGATCAATTCAAAAATATAATTTGATTTCTGGTCATTTTAGCATTTTCCAAGATTTTGTAGCCGATGTTTACGGAAGAGAAGTGACACTAATTTACAATTTCAGGGGTCATAAGAGGAAGTGGGCAGCAAAAGGTTGGGGCATATGTTAATCTGGGAGCTTACTATCTTATGGGCATTCCTGTTGCAGTCTTATTAGCTTTTGTCCTGCACATTGGAGGGAAGGTAACATCATAGTCCTTATCCTTCTATTTTTTTAAACCCCCCTCGCTACTTTTTTAGTTTTAGTTTCTCTACTTTCTCAATCTTTTATGGACATATAACACAAGTATTAATTTCAAATTAACGTTTATGTTCTTCACAGGGTCTTTGGACGGGAATTATCGTGGCTCTATTCGTGCAGGCACTATGTCTTTCGATCATAATCATATGCACAGATTGGGAGAAAGAAGTAAGCTACTTTGTTACGTTATGTTTTGTTTAGTCAGTCTGATTTTACCTTCATCTCATGATCCATTTTTCATTCCTTTTGTAGGTGAAGAACGCTTCTGACAGAGTGTACAACACAATGACCTCGGCTGATACGTCATAGTCAAGGTTCTAAAAGATATTAGGCGCTGGTCGGGTGGCGAGCTGGGATCTAGCACTTAGGTGGCTAGGTGGGGTCTAGGTGGGCGCCAAGGCAAACTAGGCGGATTTAAGTAAATCTATTATATTTTGTGTAAGTCACTTGCTTTCTTGGGTCGCTTCACTCGCCCGCGTCAAACTTCCATTCTCTGTACTCTTAGGGTAACTTTGGGGTCCTTGCCCTTCACTTATCTGGGGGTACCTATTTTTCAAGGTAGGCCAAAAAAAGCTTATTTCCAAGCTATTGCAGATAGGGTGCGGAAAAAGTTAGCCTCATGGGAGGGTGCCCTATTGTCTCAAGTAGGTCGTCTGGAATTGCTTTCTTCTGTTATCCAAAGTTTATTGGTTTACTCTTTTCAGGTTTATGAATGGCCTTCTTTGCTTCCAAAACAAGTTCAAAGTTGGATGCGAAATTTATTTTGGTCTGGCGACCCAAACAATTGTGGTGTACCACTTGTGGCCTGGCGTATTTGTTGTCATCCAAAAGAGGAAGGGGGTCTTTGTCTTCGAGATGTTATAGTAATGAATTGTTCTCTAATTCTCAAACGTTGTTGGGATGTAGTTTCTTCTGATTCTCTTGCATTTATTTTCTTAAGATATCGATTTTTGGCTAAAGGTTTCTCAATTGCTTCTTCTTATAAGAAATCTTTAGTGTGGCTTGGTCTAAAGAAAATATTTCCAGATCTTTTGCCTCAACTACGATGGTTAATTGGTGATGGTTCTCAAGTTCGATTTTGGACGGATAACTGGCTTGGAGAGCCAATTGCGCATAGTTTATGCATCCATCATCATGTGGCATCCACTTTGAAAGCAAAGGTTTGTGATTTTATTGGTCCAAATGGTTGGGTATTGCCTACGAATTTTTTTTCATCCTTTCCTGTTATTGCTGAGACTATAACCTCGACTCCTATTTCTTTGGAGGCGGGTGTTGATAAACTTATTTGGACAAGTTCTTCATTAGGTCTCATGACTGCTAAGGATGCTTTTTCTTATTTGAATGGTCATAATTCCCAGCTGGTTTAGGGTAAAGCCATTTGGGATTCCTCCATTCAGCCTAGGAAAAGTACTACTACTTGGAAGGCTTTGCATGGACGTCTTCTTACTGATGATCGCTTGCAGCGTCATGGAGTGCCTTTGGTTTCTGTTTGTTGTTTTTGTCTGAATGCTGCAGAGACTGTTTCACACTTATTTTTGGAGTGCCCATTTATTCAAGAAATTTGGAATTGGTTGTCACTCCTTTTTAATCGACCATATGTACAATGTGGTTCCTTGGAAAATCTTTTTTCATCTGCTTTCTTTGCTGCTTTGTCTTCCTCTTCTCGCCGTTTGTGGGTGCTTGTTGTTTGTAATGCTATTTGGAGCATATGGTCTCTACTAAACAAGATTCGTTTTGAGGGTGCTAAGCTATGTATGGCTCATGCCAAGGCTAGGATTCTTACGTGTTACAAAGAATCTGCCTCCTTAGTTTTTTCTTCGGTTCCTTACGTCAAGTGCTCCTATTTTTCAGACTTTAGGCGTTTCTCCTTTGTTGTCTACTACCTCGCGTTTCATTCTTGTTGTATGGAAACCTCCTTGGGTGGGGTGGATCAAGGTGAATGTTGATGGGTCATTCAAGTCTATAGGCCGTGCAGGTTATGGTGGTGCATTTCGAGACTCTCAAGGTATTGCTTTGGGTGCTTTTGCGTCGTCCACAAATTTTTGTAGTTCGATTGCAGCTGAGGTTCTTGCTGTAATTGAGGCTATTTGAGTTGCTTGGGTGCGTGAATGGCATCACATTTGGTTAGAGACGGACTCAAATACAGTGATTCACTACTTAAACTCTCCTAGTTCTGTTATTCTTTGGTATTTGCGTGTTGATTGGAGCAATTGCTTGTGGCAGATTAGGCATATGCATGTTTTTGTTTTCCATATTTTTCGTGAGGGCAACTGTTTAGCCGATGCCTTAGCTAACTTTGGTGCAGATCACGATGCATATTGGTGGTCCAACGCTCCTTCATATGCAGCGTGTGCTTATGAAGTGTCTATTTATACTTAATATATATAATTTTATCATAAACTACAAAATCGAGTGACATGTATTATGAAGTATTGAAACATGATGAAAACATGGGGAACAAACATATAATGTGTGCTCAGATAGAAGAGCCCTCGAAAGGCAAAGCTATTGCTATTGAGGAAGAGAAGACCCTCACGCCCAAAGAAGGCTTGCCAGCACACTTTAGCATTGAAGAGCTGCTGTGATTGCCCAAGGAGATGCGAAGAGCACTAGTAGCGGTCTTGGCAAGTCCCGACAACCACGAGGTGCAAGAAAGCAAGGACGAAGGCTTAAAGCTTCAGCCACATGAATATGCCATATACTATGTTGCTCATGATGCAATCAACTTCATTGACGAAGACTTGCTGCTAGGGTCAAAGCCTCACAACCGTCCTCTCTTCGTCTCTGAGTACGTGTGGGGCACAAATTTAACCGCATGTTTGTGGATGGTGGATCGACCATAAACATCATGCCAAAATCAACAATGATCGCAATCAGCATTAAGGTGGATGAACTATCCCGAAGTCGCCTGCTAATCCAAGGTTTTAACAAAGAAGGACAAAGCGCGAAGGGTATGTTCCAAGTCTAGATGACCATTGGTGAACTCAAGTCAAGCATGCTCTTTCACTTGATTGATGCAAGAACTTCTTACAGCTTGCTTTTAAGAAGGCCTTGGATTCACGAGAATAAAGTAGTACTGTCCACCCTCCACCAATGCCTAAAGTTCTACCAAAAAGGGGTGAAGGTGATACAAGGCGACACCAAGCCATTCACCGAAGTCGAATCACACTTCGCGGATGCTAAGTTTTACATGGATGAAGACATGGTACCCAAAGCTCTTCCAAAGGAGATCAAATCCACAGGCAAAGCTGCACCCAAAAAGAAGGAGTGGCAAGCTGTGTCCAAGGAGTAAGAAGAGGAAGTCGTGCCATCTTCAAGCAAAAACGATGATGAGCCTGCCAAGCCCACAACAAACAAATGGAGTGTAATGCCTTCAAAAAGATTAAGCACACCCGTCTTCCGATACATCACCATGTTGAGAAGAAAGAATGGGCAATCCCCATTCGAAACTGGAACAAGCAAAGCCGACACACAGCTGCACAAGGACGATGTAAAGCTGCTCAAGACAAATGTTGTTTTAGTTCTGACACAGCTAGACGATGTTAAGGCCATCATAAGGTTTCGTAAAACCCTTGCCAAAGGGGTTAAAACCAAGCTCTCTTTGAACCAAGAGGACTGAAGAAGGTTTCGACCCAAACGCCTACAAACTCATGTCAAAGGCTGGGTATGATTTCGCCTTCCCTTCAAATCTTGGAAATAAGGTTTTAAACACCGTCAACAACAAAGAACGTGACCTCACCAAGACTCAAAAGAAGTTGAAGGAGCATGGTTACGAAGTTGACGACAACAAAGATAGACTTGGCTTCACACCAAATAGGCTCGTGAAGATTTCAAGAAAAGCGAAAAACGCTAGCGCTCAACACATCAGTGTAAACTTTGAACATAATCAAGATGAGCCTAAACCCGCCCCTCGAACGTCAGTCTTTGATCGGCTGAACCGTTCAAAACCCAGAATGTTGGCATTTGATCGTATTAGTGGTCAAGACCAAACCTCTATCATTAAAAGGCTTAACACGCTAACACCCCAAAGCTCTGTTTTCAAAAGGTTATCAAAACCTAAGAAACAAAGCAACATGGCTAGTTCTCCTTCGCGACGGTTGGCCTTGGAAAGACCCAAAGAAACCAAGAAACCTTTTAGAAAGAAGAAGACAATGCCAAAGAAAGAAAAGCTCAATGGTCTAGTAGAAAAAGATGACGTTCGAAGCTTAAGCAACCTTGGAGGTTGACACAAAAGGGCCATTAAAGGTAAGGCGGTGCACCGTCATCCACATTGGCCAATCTTCACGCAAATAAGCCCAAAAGGACAACACTAAAGAGGATGACACACCCCGACCCAGAAAGTCCACTTGGACCCTGAATCGAGCTGTGCTGGCCGACACCTGGAAGGTGACGAAACCATAAAATGTGATAGTGTAAAAAAATGAATAAATTTGAATCTAAAAGTGTCTAAGTACCAGAGTGCGCTACGAGTGGGAGTGAACCCATTCCACACGCGATGTCAGAGCATAAGTAAGGTACAGTAGTATGGGTAAGAATCATACCCTCAAAAATATCCATTAATACTAAGATTCACCACAGATTGTTGTCAATACGAACTCAGCAGCTAAAACCTGGAGGGCACCAAACAGAAGGTGTGAGTAAGCAATAAAACCAAGCTTCCCAAAGTTATTACCTCTCTAAAAGTAATGCCCTAATGTAAAACCCGTATCGTTTTCCATAAGACAGTACAATATATATACATATATCCAAACCATACTCAGAAATGACCAAAACCACGGTTTGCCATTAACTCCACCATACATTAATAAGTAGGCCAAATGAACTAAATCAATACAAAGTGATATATCAGTCAGAGTCATCTAAAATGACATGTACAACTTATCCGTATCTCATCAATCATGGCTAGCATATAAGTCGGAGTCACCTCTAGTGACCTGTACAACTTATCCATATCTCATCAATCCTGGCTAGCATATAAGTCGAAGTCACCTCTAGTGACTTGTACGACTTATCCATATCTCATCAATCCTGGCTAGCATATAAGTCGGAGTCACCTATAGTGACCTGTACGACTTATCCATATCTCATCAATCCTGGCTAGCATATAAGTCGGAGTCACCTATAGTGACCTGTACGACTTATCTATATCTCATCAATCCTGGCTAGCATATAAGTCGGAGTCACCTCTAGTGACCTGTACGACTTATCCATATCTTATCAATCCTGGCTAGCATATAAGTCGGAGTCACCTCTAGTGACCTGTACGACTTATCCATATCTCATCAATCCTGGCTAGCATATAGCTCAATAAGTATACTTGCACACGAGTCGGAACCACCTAAAGTGGTCTGTACGACAGGACTGGGTGTAAATAAATAAGCTCAAGTGCTACGATCACGTGAAGACTGGGCGAATAATCGCGGGTCACCTACGAGTCGGAACCACCTAAAGTGGTCTGTACGACAGGACTGTGCACCTACCTTGAATCCAAGGTGAGCATAAGGTGCGGGTTTATGAGCTCTCAATGCATCTCAATATAACATATGCAACTCATGGCAACTAGTACGACAGTATCGAAGTTGCCTAACACATAACTGTAGTCATGCTATAACGCAATCGATTCAACTAGTACCATAAACTCACCTGAACTTACCTGGGCGTCCTGAGTTCACCTTTACACTTGAAAGCATTCCCAATAATTATATGCAAGTAATATACATATTGCTATACCATGATACAATCTAATACTCAACCATGTCGTAGCATGTTCAATTATAAACAATACAGTGAGAAGTGTACAATCAATAACGCCTTACTCCCAAACTACTTATTTTCAGGGATAATTATCCATGACGACCCAATTAACACTAATTTAGCTAACTAATTCATAAAACTAAAACTTGCCTTTACCAATTTCCTTCGCCTTACTCAATTTCCCAATCAAGGCTTTTGTCTCAAATATTTTAT